ACCCCCTCCCCACTAACACCCTGCAAAGACTCCCCCACTAACACCGTGCAAGGACCCCCCCCCCACTAGTGCCCTGCCCTCTTGCACCCTGTGAGCCCCCTGCTACTCGCCTGCTTGCAGCCCAGTGGGCACCCGCCAGGACCCCGTGAGCACCTTGCTGGCACCCCGTGAGCACCCAGCAAGTGCCCGTGAGCACCCTGCCTGCGCCGCCACCAGCAAGACCCGCAGAGCTTCCCTGCTGCCTGGGAAGGCACCTCCTCCCCATCCCGGGGGGCCAATTTCCTCTGGGCAGAGCTAGTGCCACTCACTGCAGCCTCTGCTGCCAGGGAGTCGGTTTGAGCTAAAGGGCGCTTCTCATTTCCCTAGTTTTTAGCCTGGTTTTGTGGCTCTGTGTGCTCAACGTGCACCTGTTACTGACCTGAGCCTCAGGAGCACCATCAGTCCCCAGGCAAATGCTCCTTCAAAGAGCAAGCACCAGCAGGAGCTGGAGATGCTCTTTTGGCCACCCGTTTGCTTGTGTGTGGACACGTGAGAGGGATGCAGACACAGGGACGTCAGAAAGTCCTGGCTATGGAGAGCTCTGCAGGGGCCACAGCCCTCGGAGTCCTCTAGGGCACAGGACAGAGCAACGGGCTGTTCAGGAGCTTCATGTCAGTTTTCATTTTAAAAGTGTAAGAAACAGCAAGTAGCTGCTTGTTGCCCGTAGTAAAAACTGTCACAGCTGCTCTTGAGTGTAAACTCTATGAGTTCCTGTGAAGAAGAAAAAGGACTTTTTCCTTTTTCTGTGCAAGAGACTCGTTTGGGCTCCAAAGCTGCTTGCAGGAGCCGGGGCAGCAGCAGGGCCGGTCGCACAGTCGCAGGTGCCGACGCCGAGCTGGGACTTTGTGTGGGGACTTTGTGCGGCCGAGATGGTGGCGGGAGCAGCTCTGGCCCAGGCAGCACCGGGTTCCCAGAGCCAGCAGAGGGGCCGTGCTGGGGCTGGACCGTGATGGTGCTCGGCTCTGCCCCGAGGGCCCTGCGGCCGGGCCGGGGCTCAGCCCGGCTCCCAGCCGCCTGCGGCCCAAATCCTGCCCTGTCGCATCCCAGGTTGTCAGCGCTGCTGTGGTTCAGCGCTACGAGAAAAACCCTGCTGCTTTCTATGGCAGCAGGATTTATTACATGGCATTTCTTGCTGAAGGGTGCGAAAAGGATGTTCTGTGCATTTGTTATTGTGGCAGCATGGTGATCTTGCAGGTCCTGCTCTTCCCTGCAGTCATTCTCATGACAACAGTGTGAGACGCACGCGGTGCTTTAGAAAAGTCCTTTCATTATCCATTATCTTTCCTGCTGGACACCCTTTATTATTGTCTCTATGCCAGTGAGTGTTTTCAAAGGTGAAAGCAAGAGTTTAACCAAATTTA